CGGTACGTGGGATCCGAACCCTCGGACGGGAGCGCTGCCGCGCTTCCCAAGCGGCGCATGCGCCACCGGGCCGGCCCTACCCTTTTTTTTTTCTAGGGGATCGCAACCCTTGGCTTAGTGCCGTCTGCACCACACTCAGCCAATGAGTGCACCGGCCATCCCTATATAGGATCTGAACCCATGGCCTCGGTGCTATCAGCACCGCACTCTCCTGAGTGAGCCACAGGGCCGGCCCTTATATTATCCTTTAATGCTATTTTTCCATGAACTTGTTGAAGTATTCTCGTATTTATCTATCTATATTATATGTATTTGTTTATATGTGTATAAACTCTCTCTGGAAAGATATATAACAAGGTTTGAAGGAGACTTTTTTATACTTTCTGAATTTTGAACCATGTGAATGTATTTCCTACTTAGAAATTTACATTTAAAGAAATAGGCTGTCTGGTTAGCTCAAGTCGGTTAGAGCGTAACCTTATAACACTAAGGTCATGGGTTTGGATCCTTATGCCGGCTAGCTGCAAAAAAAAAAAAGAAAGAAAGAAAGAAAGAAATATTTGGTTGAAAACACGGCTTGTTCCTAAAATCATAGCAAAGAAAATCAACCCATTTCACAACCCATGGGTCTAGTACACTCACAGATATAAGAGAGCCGTGCTCTTATTCTTTCACTTAACACTCACTGGGCAGCTGCTCTGAGCCTGGCCCTAGGCGGGTGCTAAGGGGAAAAAATGAATTAGACAGTATCTTCCAGTCCATTTAGAGGGCAGATGAGTAATCATAACATCATGTACAGTGTCATCAGTCCTAGTATAAGGAAAAGCATACAGAGAGGCCTCTCTCCCCTCTCTCCCACACTGGTGGGTCAAGAAACGGCTTCCTAGAAGAGGTGGTATCTAAACCGAGACCTGAAGGACAGTCAGAGTGATATGGAGAGGCATACTGGAGGCCCTAGAATCTGCATTTCTGACAAGTTCCCAGGCGAGGTGGTGCTGCTGTGCAGTAACCGCTGTGCTAGGGAGAGGCAAGAGGACAAAGAACGTGCTGCGTGTTTCCCAAGAACATGGGGAATAAGTGTGGCTGCCGAAAAATGTGAAAAGTTTCACAAAACAAGGCTGGTGAGGTTAGTGGAGACCCTACTGTGAAGGGCTCTAGAAGTACATGTGGCAGAGGTGGCTAGCAGTCCCCCAATCTCAGCTCTCCCCTTCTTACATAGGATCAGAACCTGAGATTTTCAGCTGAGCACAAAGACACCCAGAATAGACTACATGTTCCTTGCAATGGTATGTCAGAGCCGGACGGTTCTCTCCAGAACCCATCTGCCCACCCATTCGAGCTCCATTCCAAGGAGGCCCAGGTATGAGGCGTTAGAGGCAGACAGACTTCAGCCCTGTTAAAGACCTTCCCAGCAGTCTGAGGCAGGATTAAGGGGGAAACATCAGAATCAGTTTCCAGACTGAGGCTCACCTCTCCAAACATGCTGCGCCCAAATGCAAGGGCTGCCTTGGGAGGGCAGGAGCCCCCATAGGGAATGAAAAGTCATAATCCTAGCTTGGTAAGAATGCAATAAGGGGCAACTGCAGTCAGACATTCCTGGATTCTGATCCTGGCTCAGACCCTTCCTGGCTGAGTAGCTCTGGGCAAGTTCCAGTCTTTCTAAGCCTTAGTTCCTGTAAAGTAGGAACAGAATGCAAAGCTCACAGGGTTTTTGTGATGATGAAATGAAAACAGAAATAAAGTATGTAGAGCTTAGCATGGACCTGTTGCAGGGGAGGTGTCAGGAAACGGTCACTATATTGCTCCATTATTATTATTATTATTATTAATAGCTGAAGATGCTTAAATACCACCCTTGGGAGTCTCATAAATCTCCCCAGGGATGAGGCTGGGATGACACCCCTTACCTCACAAGACTGTCCCAAGAGTCAAGCAAGTTGATGCCTGGCAGTGCAAATGCTTTGTGGCCTGTGCAGCAGGAGTCTGCCTGGAGTCCCTCTGGACCCCCACCACATCAGTACTCCAGGCTGCCTGGGCCCTATCCATCCCTTAGAGCCTGGTGGGGCCTGGGATAAGCTCCACTGGACAGATGGGGTAACTGAGTCTGTAAATGAGCAAGGGACTCAGCAGGCCACATTCCATGACTAGAGCCTCTGCTCTGGAATGGGCTGTCCCCTGCCACACCGGGCTGGGGAATGAGGGTGGATTACACCATACACACACACTCGCACACCCCAGAGCAGACAGGTATACATACACCCCTCAAAAACACACCTTGTCCAAGCAGCCAGCCAGAGACACACATATCAGGGCAGAGAGGGGCGCACACATCGTCCAGTGACATAACCTCGTCCTCCAGGGGCACGGGTACACACAGATACACGCGAACACATCCGTCCCAGTTATCACACCCACGGCCGACAACCGCCAGGCCACAAGCACGTTCAGCAGCCGGGCCGAGGACAGTCTGCGACCTCGCCGCGCCCCGCCTGCCTTCCGCAGCCAGGCCCCTCCCGTGGGAGCGGAAGCGGCCGGCGGCGGGTGTCCGCGGTCAGAAGGTTCAGCGGAAACTGAGGGGCGGCCCCGGGACTGGGAGGGAGAAGGCAAAGGGAAGGAGGTTGGGCCCTGGGAGATGGGTCGGACCTGGCCCCCTCCCGCCGGTCAGCAGGCACCGCACACACCGTCTGCAGGTACAAAGTATACACGTGCTCAGCGCCCGTTCCAGGGGCACCCCTGGGAGGGGTGTCCCGGCGGTGTTCCCTGCACAGCCAACCTCTGCCACCGGGTGCCCAGCCCTTCCCGCACCTCCCACCATCCACGGAGACACAGACCCCCCGGGACCCGCCATCACCCAGCCCTCTACCCGCCGGACCCCCGCAGAGCCCCCTGACCCCACAAATAAAGCCACTACACAGTCCTCCAATGCCCCCCACAGAACCTTCACACACAGACCTCCCCTCACGCACAAAACACAGACAACCGCACACCCCTCTCCAGGGTGACAACAGGACACCTCAGTCCCCGGCTTCCACGCCCGTCGGGTGAGCACCCTCTCCCCAGACCGACTCGGCCACACTCCGGCGACCCCACGCCCTGCGGGGCCAAGTCACCTGAGACCTGGGGCGTCCTCCGGACGGCGAGGTTTTTAAAAAGTGTGTGCGCGTGTGTGTGTGCATGTGTGTGTGTGTGCGCGCGCGCGTGTGTGTGTGACACGCAGACGCCTGGAGGCTCCGGGCGTCCATTCTCCGGCCCCCCGCCGCGTACCTTGCCCTGGTGTCCCGCGTGGGTCCCGGCGCCACCGATGCTCAGAGCCGCCGGGACACCCGCAGGTGGACCGGGGCCCTC